ACTTCAGAATATTTTATCCGCTCATTCAGATTCTGTACGTAAAATTAATAAAAAATATTCTTTTAGTTCCGAAGGTTTCTGGGACACCTTTCTAGAAACTAAAGTATTTTCTGTTGGTTTGTTCAACATTTTTGGAGCTTTACGGTATGCTCTAGATAAAATAGAGTATTTTCCTGACATTCTGAAGTAGGTCGAATGGATTTTGACTTGATTATGAATATTTTAATTTTTGATAAAAATCAAAACTGGATTATTTTCATCTAGTATAGATTTTCACTCGATTGTTGCATTTTGTTCTGGAAACTAACGTTGCCACGAGATTCAGCATAGTCGATAACCTATGCTTTCATTCATTCCTGACAGTCCCAAATCTAACGACAGAGGAGTGCTAAGGCTTCAGAACAAACGTCCATAGCTCCCGAACCATGGGTTTTCAAGATGTCGCTTAGATCCAGTTTTCTAGAGGATACTTCGGACTATATATGCCCCCAAAAAATCAATAGATTCCTATTTAAATTTCGAAAAACCCAAGCTAGTTTCCTAAAAATCCTCTAGAAAACCGGCCTCGAAAATTTTTCCGTAAATCAGTTTTGCTTGTGCAAAGATAGCCTCAAGTTTTGGCTATCGAATGGTGAAAACCTCAAGTCTCTATCTTTATTTGATGCTGAGTTACTCAAAAAATGACTACTGCTCTTGTATTTTAGAACCGATAGTAGTTTTAACTGTATGTCGAAATTAGAAGTCTCATTTTCATGATAAGAAAGTTTCAGAAGTTTGTAGTTCATATAAACTCTGAAGTATTTACGGGTAGAAAAAAGAAAAAGAGAGCACTAATATCGGTCATAGATGGATCACAACGAAAAATTATAGGATGAGTGATTCTCTGGTGAACATACTGTATCCAGGATACAGAAATAAGTCTGTGCTGAATATTCATTGAGAGTACCGATATTAGTGAAAATATGAACTAAGTGTCTAAACAGACTGATTCAGTGCCCAATTACTAAGCTACTCGTGTACATATCAATCACCGTTTTGTTTTGCACAATATCCTGTATAAATCAGTAATACAGTAGTATAAATGTTCGGATCGGGTTCGGGTCAAATAAAAAAATATTTCAGATTCCGTTCGGGTCACGTTTCAATTTTTCATGCGTTTTTCTGCGAAAAGTCTAGTTACACTCCTTTTTTTTGGGTACAAAAAAGTTTTTTTCAAGGTTTCTTCGGATCAAAGAAAACACTTTCCGGTCAGGTCGGATTTGGGTCACAGAAAATACTTTCGAGTCAGATCGGATTCAGGTCAAATGAGTCTGATCCGATTCGTTCTCGGATATAAATACCATTTATTTTAGAAAATAGTAAAGTTGTTTTAAGAGCAAGGCTCACTCATTCGTCCGAACTGTAGAAATTAGTTTTTCCACATCTCTTTTTGATATGAGCAGAAACGCTGAACCAGTGAAAACGCGAAATTTCTGAGTTAAAATTCGACGTGAAAATAAGACGACACTAGTTCTGAGGGTCCTAGAAGATTTTTTCATACCACACTTAAACAGTTGACAACAAATGTGCCACTTTTCTGTTATTTTTAAGAGGATACTTTCCTATCTACTAAAAATTCTCTTCACGTGCCAGCGTACGTTTCATTCGATCGGGCATAGAGCGTGGGGTAGAATGCCGATACCAGTCTTGAATCTGTTGAGAAACTTTTGATAGATAGAAAAAAAAGATTTCTTTTTACACTTTCCATGGGGAAATTTTAGTATATAAAACGGCGTGTACACTCGTGAATATCGTGAAATGAACTGTGATGGCACGTGACCATCGTAAAAGGGTCTGTGGATACGTGTAAAAAATATATTTCATTTGTGACAAAGCGTGAACTGTTCACGAAGACTTTTCACGTTATATTTTTCGCACATGGTCACTGGTGAACACAATGGTGTGTGAACACACGTAAAAAGAAATTCTCACTTGTGAAATTATAGAAAGTTGACACGTGACCACGCATTTTATGTTACAACTGCACGACGAAACTTCGACAAAATTTCCCCATGGGTTCTCTCGCGTCTCAGTTTAGGAAGAGAAATGTGTTCAAATATTACAAATAATTTTTTCCTATACTTTAGCGTGAAGCAATAATTTCTTTTTTTTTGTGTAAAAGAAAACTCCATTGAATGAGAAGCATTAAATTTTTCAAAAATTCTAAATATTTGCAATTTTTTTTGAAAGCTTTTAACTTTTCAACAAGAAATTTAAAAGGTAAAAATCAAAAGTGTAGTTTCTACAATCGATTAGAATATATATCTACGTTGCTTTAAAATCATGTATATATCATATTCTTAAAAAAACTTGTACTATCATCAATGTATGTTTTTTTCATTATTTTCTCAAAAGTGGCACACGGTTGGTTCGAAAATTATTTTATGAGCATTATTAGATGGAGCATTCGACCCGATTTCACATCTTATGTGTATGTTAGATTACAATGACCAAAATGCTGCCAGTTTTATGACCGTATGTGTTTCGAAACAATTTTTTTTCGAAAAATTACATTTCAAAATACCATATTCGAAAAAATCAATTGTAATATAAACTAATATACAGTAAAAAGTAAAGGACAAAAGAAAAAGAGAAATGAACGTGGAAATAGGTTTGCAATATGAAAAAATATCTCTTCTCAATAAGATAAAACGCATATTTCTACTTTATATAGTAGGAAAAGCAAGAATAAAAACGAAAATAAATCTTTTGAACAAACTGTTAAGAGAGATTAACAGAAAAAACAAAACAAAATTCGTTTTAGTTTGCTCTTTATTACGTACAAAAAAAAAAAATCACAGAAGTAAAAAAACAACTATCATCATGATTTAATTAAATCCAATTCAAAAACACGCTACTACTTCTAAAATGATAGTAATATAAACAGATTACATTTATGAATAAAAGACTAGTAAAGATTTTACCTTATAGTATGGACAAAGATAATTATTCGTTGATATGAACTAAATTGTGATACAAACAAAAAACATTCAATAGTTTGGTTGAGTGTAGAAGATGTAAGAAAATACAATTATAATACAAAGTTCACCCATAGTAAATACAGATTATGTAAGTTTAAGTGTGTAACACGCAAGTTAGCATGAACAACTGTCAGCTCAGATAAAAGACTTGTCTTTTTGGTGAAGGTTGCATACACTTACAGTAAAAATATACAAATATCGATTGACTAACACTTTTGTGCATAATATTTACGCGTACAACACTACCATACGAACACTAGGATGCAAAATTAATTTCTTCATTCTGTTGTGAAATTTAATCAATCAATAAGAATAAAAATTCAAACTCATCAAAATAATTAATAGATAGATAATTATTCATATATAAGACAACATCAAAGTCCTTCATCATATTTTTGATTCGATCGTTTCGTGTTCTATTGTATGATCATGGGGAATTAAATTTTGCGCTTTAGTGTTGTACGTGGAAATGTTATGCACAAAAGTGTCGGTCAATCGCTATTTGTATATTTCTACTGTAAGTGTATGCAACCTTCACCAAAAAGACAGAAGTCTTTTATCTGAGCTAACAGTTGTGCGTGCTAACTTGTTGGGCTGTGACAGTTACCGAGTAACGATGGTAACAGTAACTGGTAACTGTCACAGCCCTACTAACTTGCGCGTTTTCCCTCGATTTGAAGATGAAATAAAAAGGTTATTACTCAATGCTCTTTTCATACGTTATTTTACGGAGTTTTCCTATTTTTTACCATACCTATCAAGATCCCCATCATGAAAGCAGTAAACCAAAAGAAAATACTAAACGCTTACAGTTACTGGATTGCGTATAATCTGCTTTTGTATCTGCTTGTGAATCTTGATGTTGCTCTGGCGGTGTTAAATGTGACGATGTTGTTACTGTTTGACCTGATAATGTTGTGGTGGTTGTAGCAGCAGCAGGAGATGAAGTTATTGTTGTTGTTGTTGATGTTTGCTCTGAATAGGATATACTCATATTTGTTTCTAAATCGAGTGCTTTTTTAACTTGACATCGGCCTAATATTTCATTAAAACGGGCTTCCTCGCCAGAAAACATATGACTAAAAATACAGAAAAGCTTAGTCTCTTAATATTAAATCGTAGTAATATTTAAAGATGTGTTATAGCCGATTAATAAAACGTACTCTTAATTCCAAAACACTCAGTATTTATTAAAAACACATTTTTTGTGTGCTGACGTTTAATACATACTCTCGTTTTAAATGCTGTCTCATCAACTGTCTAGATTTACAACCCAACGTACAAAAGCAACAGACATATGTATCATAATCTTGATGATAAACCTAAAAGAAAATGAACATGAATAAATTTAACAATAATTATTTCCACTTGTATTACCATGTGAGAAGTTAATTTATCTTTTCTATAAAAAAATCTTCCACAAATATTGCAACAATAGCGAACTTGTTTATCGTGTATCGATGTTTTATGACGAATCATTGTGTGAACACTACTGAACAATTTACCACCTAAAAAATAATTAATAGACAAAAAAAAGATCAACAGATAAGGATTTTCATTCAACCTACAAATCGGACAAGACGCTTTAACATCAAATCTTGTATTGCCTAACATTCCATCCTATAAGTAATAAAATATTCAAGTTTTTATCGTCAATAAAGTTGTCCTTACTGTTTTTACGTACCATACTCGAGTCATGATATGGAGAAGATTGTGGAGAGGTCTGAGACATATTTTCATCCATACCCTAAGAGTTAATCAGCAAATTTTTTTGTTATTTATTATTAAGATCTTACAAGAAAATATTCTGAAGTGTATGTAGTACAGTCATATATCCTACTCCAAAGAATTAACGGCAAAAAAATTGTCGCTCAAAATGAAAATATTTCAGAAGACATTTTCACGATGACCACAAGTACACTGCGGTATACTCGCTTTGGTCTGTGCAGAATTTAAACACTTTTCTTTGCTTCCACTACACTTTGCTTTGACGGTCACAAACTGATGTTCATAATGTTAATTTTTAACTTACATTTGTATCGTGGTAAGGAGACTGACAATCTCCGCCAGCTACATGTTCTTGACCTCCGGTTAAATCATCAAATCTTTCATGACATATTGTACATTTAAAATAAGTTATTCTAGGATATGTTTCAGTATCTTCACAAGCGATTAACATTGGTCTACTTGTTGATAATTGGATATGTTCTCTATTCGTAGAGTTTGCTGCTGTTGTCATTGGTGGCTGGAGAGGTGGAGGTGACACAGGTTCTTTTGCGATTTGTTTTAATGCAACATCGTTTTGTGACCACACAGCATTCGTATAAAGAAAATTATTGATTGTTGCTTTGGTGGCATATTCGCTATCAGAATGATTAGTATCATTCGATATTGATGCTAATCGATTATGATTCGATTTTGTGGAAGCAAGAGCAGCAGCAGCTGCAGCGGCTGTTAATTTTGAAAGTGCTTCAATTCGAAGAGGATAAGAAGAAGTTATTGGATCAGTTGTTGTTGTTGTTGTAGAATTATCTAAATTAGAATTATTTTCATCGCTCGATAATTCAATATCACTGTCTAAATTATCGTTTGAATCCATATCGGCATCGCGTTCAGTCAGTTGAGTATGCGTAGATGGCATCGCTCGAACATTAATAATAGCACCTAAAACAAAAAATATCGTATTTATATCGCTATGAGATTAGAAAATATTGTTTAAAATCATTCCCAGAACATATTTTAAAATGATGATCAAATATTCAAAGTGATCAACAATAAAGTTCAATAATTTTGTCTTTAGACAGATTACCATTTGGACTGGCATTTTGGTTCACATTTGATATTCTATTAGTCATTAGGGTACGAAATGATGAGGAATTATTATCAATTGATGATGAGGAATTTCCATTTGTAGTAGATGATGGTCGAGCAATAAAGTGTGAAACGGATGTAGAAGATGATGTGGAAGACATAGACGATGTAGACGTTGTTTGATGTGATTTTTCTATTTGCAATGATGAATCAGTTAAAACAACCGGTGTTGTTTGTTGATTCTGTTCAAATCGTGCACGTTTCACTAAGGGTCGGTCTAAAACCTCATGATGATTGTGTGACATGTTATGAGACTGTCGTTGAGGTAAATATGAGGATGGAATGTTTGTTGAAACCTCATTTATAGGTGACGAACATGGTAAACGCGGTGTAGCCAGTTCTTTTATTGTTATATCGGTCGAATAGACACGACCACATGAACAAATAAAACGTTGACCATTTGATAAACGAAATTCGCCAATCTTTTGACTTTCGCATACTAAATTAAACAAACAAAAATAACGAGACCATGTCTACAAGAGTGATTTTTCAACGATTTTGTTAGCGAAGAAAAAAATATATATATTATTTCCAGTTCAAACAGACACAATTTATCAATCAAAATAATATGCATAAAAAACGGGTTTCACAAAATCAATGTACTTTATTGTCCATTTAAACTCAGAAACCTTAAAACATAAGCGCGCTTATAAAGATACAATCGATTATATTTCCTTTCAACACTTGAGAGATCATTTACTGAGAGATTACGTACAAATTGATTGTAAACCGGATCCTTTATATTGAACGACAACTTCTTCTAACCATTTCATCAACAAACCAAGATTATGAGTTTTTGTTTGTTGAATAAAATTTGCTATATTCGACTTTATTTCTTCTAATTCCATTTTTTAATATAAAAATATCTGAAAACAAGCAGAAATAAATATATTTGCCAAAAAATGTACAAAAGAGTTCAGATAATCCAGAGACGAGAAACAGAAGACAATCGATTGACGCTATTTTTGCGTACCACTCTTTATAAGAGGAGATGAAAGGCGACTTAACAAATTGGTTATTTCTGCTATGGGTATAATGTATTGTGCTCTTCAAAACTATCCTAATACTACCACTTGATCATCGCTCCAGCAACTACTATACTGACAAAACGAAGAGTGACATAATAGATGAGAGAATAGAGCATATAAGTATTTTGTATGTTTAAGAGTGTAACGTAAATATTATTACATGGTACTTTGTCAGCATAGTCACTAAATGAAATGAAATCATAAAAGCCTTTAGACATTCGATAGTCAATAAATTAATATGATAAATAAAAACGTAGAACTAGGAGAACAACAAGCAACACAGCATACTAAATATAATGTAAGAATCATTTTGATTTTTGATGCTAGAAATCAAGGTAAAACGACCAAGTAGTATTTTTATCATATTCGTGTCTATGTCTGAATTCGTATGTTTCCATTCAAACAAAAATACGAATGATGACTTAATGCTCGCTCACAGGTCTCTTTGAACGGCACAGGTAAGGACAGTCTTTTGTAAGGAAATTAGCTCTGGTATAGAGAAGTGAACAATTTGTTCAAATTAAGCTGTACAAAAGATGGTTGTTGTTCATATTGAGTTTCAATGAACATTATGTTTCGAGATCGGCTTCATTTCTATAGTTTTAACCGAAGCGTGCGAAAAACAGCAGGAGCGACAACTATGAAGGAGGGGGAGGGGGTGACAAAATTAATCGATTGGATACAAGGTTCTGACATCGCTATTTTTCATGATCCCGAAACCATTTTGTTTAAAAACGATCCTAAACTTAGGCTAAAAAGTCGCAGGAAAGTTGGACCGCTCTTGTTATGAAAAAGTTCATCTATAATTATGATTTACAGACGGCTGTAGAGGGCACTAGTGCTTAGTTAAAACATACTGCGGGTCCTTCTTTAACCGCAAGTCAGCTTTCTAAAGAAACTGCGAGTCAAACCTTTTAATGACTCAACTCTTCGTCCATTTGATATTTTGTAACTAGCTTTTTATTTGCTTCGCAAACGACTGTTGGCTGTTCGATGAACGTAAGAAAAAAAACTCTTCAGCGTATAATTAAGAAAGAAAGAAAGAAAATGAATGATTGATTGGTTGCTCGGTAGTATCAGCTGAGTGCTAAAATATGTAACTGTGGGTCGAAATAAGTTAGAATGGAAATGACGTCGACACCGTGAAATGCTCTAGGTTCAAGATGATTATCGATTAAACATCTCATTTGCATTTAACTAAGTTTTCTTACGAAAACTTATGAGAGATACCTTATTTTTTCTTTTATAAGTTTTTTGTGAAATATACTTCTGATCCTATTGATAAAAACATCTTACTGTGGTCATGTATAATCTCACCTGTACCGTCCGTAGTTATTTGTAGAAGCTTTTCTTTTTCTTAATTTTCAACTGATTTTATCTATCTATGATTCCTAAATTCTTCTTGTTTTCATCTCTAAAATTTTGTAGCGTTGAAAACTTCACGTATTAATAAATTTAGTTTAATACATTGTTTCTATCACTTAAGTTGCTATTGTTTCTTTTGAATTTTAGATCAGTTCATCTACTTCATTGTTTAATCATGATCTCTAATTGAATACTAGATATATACGCACACGCACACACACATCACACTTATACCATTTAGTAAGTACAGCATCGATTTTATTATTATTCATATCCCTTGTGTTTTCTTTTTTTTGCAGATGGAACTGCGAGTGGGTCACAAGTATCGACTAGGTCGAAAAATTGGATCAGGATCATTTGGAGACATTTATCTTGGTTAGTATCTGTTATTGTATCCTAATCATTAGAAATGAAGAAAATTTATCATCAGTTTTATACTGTTTCTATCTTTGTGATAAAATAAAGTTCTGAAATTTACTTTTAACCATGTTTATCTTTTAGGGACAAATATTGCTTCTGGAGAAGAAGTAGCGATAAAATTAGAATGTGTTCGAACCAAACATCCTCAATTACATATTGAAAGTAAAATATATCGAATGATGCAAGGTGGCGTCGGAATACCTGTTATTAAATGGTGTGGCGCAGAAGGAGATTATAATGTATTAGTTATGGATTTGCTGGGTCCATCATTAGAAGATTTATTTAATTTTTGTTCAAGGAAATTTTCATTGAAAACTGTTTTGCTGTTAGCCGATCAAATGGTATGACTAGTTATCAACTTATATTTAAAAAATGACTACTCTTTTCGTTGTTCAATTTTCAGGTTAGCAGGATCGATTTTATTCATTCAAAAAATTTTATACATCGTGATATTAAGCCAGGTAAGATTCTCGTACGAGTTTACAAAAACCAAAACCATTCGAGTGCACATATTTATTCGTATTTCTGATTTTTAATTTATTCGTTTGTTTATTTAGATAATTTTCTTATGGGTCTTGGTCGAAAAGGAAATTTAGTTTATATAATTGATTTTGGTTTGGCTAAAAAATATCGGGACGCTCGTACACATCAACATATACCTTATCGTGAAAATAAAAATTTGACAGGAACAGCTCGATATGCTAGCATCAATACACATCTGGGTATTGGTAAGTATCATTTATGAGACTTTCAAGAAAAATAGAGATCTGTGTTGTCTTCTATCTAATTTATTTTATAAAGAATATCACCAATCAAATGTGGAGTAGGATAACTTTTTTCTGTAGTATGTGCTGTTGTTTTCCTGCAAAAGACATAGTAGTTAAGTCAGCTCAGCGATATAGCTACTCAAAGACCGAGCATGGATCATAGTTTCACTCTTAGAAAAATATTTCACACTACCTATGATAAACATTTTTTAAGCCTTGAGAGATCATACATGTTGTACTAGAGCTGGATGAGTATAAGATTTCTCACACAGGAGTCGACTATAAAGTATAATGCTGAAATTTTTTATCTGAAGAGTGATAGTTGTTACGGAGTAATTAAAGTTACAATATTCTTGATTATAATTAGTTTCTCGGTGAACGCTTTTCTATAGATTAGAATTGTGTGACATCGATATCCTGTATAGTTTTTAGAAAACTAGCTCTTTTGTCAAATATTTAACACAGAAATATTGTATTCAATGTTGAAGCCACTTGTACCTCCACCCTTCCTCGAATTAGAAATGCCGATTTTTGTTAAAAATATCGATTTTGAGAAAATAATATCGTTGGATAGCCCAAAGCGTCTGCTTTCTAATGGCATAATTTTTGCGTCGATAGGATAGGTTTTTCATGATTTTTGCACGGATTTTCTAGAATAACAAAAAAACTGAGTTTTTTTTCAAGTAACTGTGCTTGCATATGTGCCTTAGATTCATCACGACCGATAACCTCTAGAAAAGTATTAACAAATTATTTAACACTCAAATAGTTTTCAAGTAAAACCGATAACAAAATCAAAACTTATTACTTATTTTGCATTTGTTCTCAATACTGCTTTTTAGCTTCAGGGCTTTCGCCACGTGCACGAATTCTCCGTAACGATACATCGGAGAAAGATAGTTTTTTTCTTTATTTGTAAATAACACCTATTGCTAGGACTTGACAGAGTCCGATTTTTAAAATTATGCATTCATTTTTTATAGAAACGAGGATTTCTAAGAAACTGTCCAAGAATTTTGCGGTTTTCAAAGTTCTATTAAGCACCAGAAATGATTAAATGAGAAATTCACAAATTGGACTCTGTCAACTCCTAGTCATAGGTGTTTACTATAAAACAAAAAAAGCCCGAGCTCTCTATCATTTTCCTGGAATGAGAATTCTTGGTGGTAATGGCTATTTTTGGTCCATTGTTGTAGCGCCCTCTCACGAACAGTTGCAAGTGGTACCAGATAAAAGTTTCGTTACCACACTTGGCATGGTCAACATTCTCTGATAGTTTGGTTTAGATCAGACGTATCTGGGCTGAGACAGGTTTCTGACTCGGGGGAGGGAGCCTTAGTTCAATAATTTTACGATATTTAGTGAGCATATTTTGTCAGTTTACATTTTGGATTTGTCAGTTACAAAAATGATGTTTTTTTGTTATCACTTCACTTATTTCCCTTTTTAGAACAAAGTCGTCGGGATGATATGGAATCATTGGGCTATGTTTTAATGTACTTTAATCGTGGTAGTTTACCTTGGCAAGGTTTAAAAGCGGCAACAAAACGTCAAAAATATGAGCGTATTAGTGAAAAGAAAATGTCCACACCGATCGAAGAATTGTGTCGTGGTTTTCCAGGTATGCCATCTAAGATTATCTACTACTAGATTATCTTGTTGTGGTCGTCTTCTTTTTTCTTTGTAGCTGAATTTACAACTTATTTAAGTTATTGTCGATCGTTACGTTTTGATGATAAACCTGACTATTCTTATTTGAGGCAATTATTTCGAAATTTATTTCATCGACAAGGCTTTACATACGATTATGTATTTGATTGGAATATGCTCAAATTTGTAAGTTGCTTCAAATAGTGAAAAATACGGACGTCAATAATAATAAATATAAAATATTTTTTGTTTCTAGACTGGTCAACGTTTAGACTCAAATAGTGCAAATAATGAAGGTTCAACAAATAAACATGAAAATGGAATTGGAACAAATACAAACAATCATAATAATGCACCAGGTAACTAAACACATCTATATGTGTATATAATTGTTTTGCATATGGATTATGCGCACGCAAATTATAGTTGATGCTGGCGATGAAAACAACCCGTCCTTTCGCACAAATCTGAATAATACTACATCTGTTGTTCAAAATTCAGTAGTATTATCTCGGCTAATCGATTTTGCAGCCTATAAACAAGATGATAAATCAGTTGCAGGCGATAGTATTTATAGTAATAAATTACTACGTAAAACTATTCTCGATCGACTAATCGATAGTAAGCACAGTAAACAAGCATGAAAATAAGAGAAAGAGGAACATTTACTGACCGACTGCGTGCTTTTCGATTAATTTATTTGAACTGTGTCGCGTGCTTTGTATGTTTTTTATTATGCAAATAACGCCTTCATCTTTATTAATGATTATAAACTATAAAAAAGGCAAATCCATTGTATGTGTTTAGAGACCGATGATACAGAAAGGAATATCAAATCAAGAATGAAATAGATTAATAGATTTTTTGTTGAGGTATTTTTCGGTTTTGTGTGACTAAAAGTGTTTGATGTGTGTGTGTGTGTGTGTGCGCGCTTTTAACAAATGCTATGCACTCACAGAGAGAAAGAGTGAAAAAGAAAATAGAGAAAGAAATTTTGTTGATTTTTTTGTAAACATATTTGTCAATTTTTTTCTAATTGCAAAATATATATCTTGTTTTAACATCAACTTTTTGTTGTTTTGATAAATTAGAATGACTTTTTTTCTGTATATTTCAGGAATAACAGCACCATTTCGACGAAATTCAAAAGATGTTCAACAACCACAACCGCCAGTTTCATCTGTGCCACTGCAACAACAACAACCAAAACAGCAACATGTACCATCAACAGCGACTGATACAGCACGTTCTTCATCAGCTCGAGCAACAAAAAAATAGTTTTTTTTTTTGTTTTTCTGTTTTCTTTTCTCGATTTTTACTTTCATTGCACACTTTCTTGTTTTTGATACAAATTTCTTGGACACATACATACACACACACGTGCGCTCGATCGTGTGAACAGTAAATATAAAATGAGAAACAAAGATCTGTTAGATATCTCATTATGTTTTCATCTTATCATTGTATTCTTGGACAATCAAAACTCGAATGTTGCTTACGAACAAACAAAGAAAAACATCAGGTGTTTTGTTTCTCCTTCTAATACTCTGTTAGTTCTGTCTTTTACTTAACAATTTCGGCTTCCATATTTTGTGTAAATATTTCAAAAAAATTTTGACAAACTTAAAGCATTTCTACATTTTTTTTGTTCTCCACAGTTCGCGCGTATGGTCGTCCAATATAATTAATGTGCGTGTATGCTCTTCAAAAATTTTCTACGTATGTGCGTGTGTGTGTGTGTGTGTGCGTGTATGTAGATTAACTGTTGCTTTTTCTCAATTCTCGCTTTTTCTATCTCGATACATAGTTGTTTGTTATTATTATTGTTGTTGTTGTTGTTGTCATTGTTTGGAATATTTTTTCTTTGAAAAACAATCGTGGTTTATTTGTTTTTGTTTGTTCGCTCTTTTTTTTTTATTGGAAAATATACGTTTTTCTTTCATTCATTTTCATTCTATATAAAATATAAACGACAAATAGAAAAGATTGAAGAGAAATTGTTTGTTTTAAATATTTATTACATAACGTATGAAATTTGGAGGAATATATTGTGAAGTATATCGCCCGTTTCTCATCTGAAGAGTTGTTCTGGATATTGACCGTTGATATCTGACTAGTAAATTAAATGAATACATGCTGATTATATGATGATGATGATTATATTCCATATATCGATCAAAACTGACTGATTATTTTGATCAATCAATCCGATTAAATTCAACACACCCGTCAATGAATTTACGCTACATTCATGTACGAAATTTATAATGATAAAATTCCATAAATATGATATAAAGTGTCTAATACATGAGAGACAGGCAACTATGTTTGAAATGTTATTCGTTTAAGACGAATACAAACATGATAAATTGTAAATAGTAAATTGTCAAAAATATATTAAAAACACATCAGATCAATTAAAAACAAAATTATAGATAGACGATGGAAAATATTAAACAACTGGTGGTAACTGGAACGAAAATAGTAGACATATAACAGTGGTGAAACGAGTGTAGTACAACGACACAATGAGAGACACCACTTAAATGCTATATTAATAAGAAAGAACAACTATGATTCAAAAGCACGTTGAGAAGTCTCATAAAAATTCGAATGAAACAAGTGAAGTAGAGAAACAGTTCGAAGAATTATGCTGTTTTCAATCGAAACGTTATAGCCATTTAGTTAGTCATTTAATAAAACATATATTTGTTTTGCTGGCATATACGTTTTCTGTTCACTAAGTCTTTTGCATTTATTTTCCTACGTACTTTATACGGAATGAATAGTATGTAGTCAGACATCATTCGTTCTTACTTCTAGAAAAAAAAAAATTGATATTTTTATTTAAAGAATGAGACATCTATTATTTTCATTTAGTATATAAACGTACAGATTTTTATGAACGAAATGTTTGAGGTACCAAGTAACAGGATGAAAATATAAGTTGGAGTCAGCTTTATAAAAAACTCCTGTAACTTTTTTTTGGTATTGTTTCTCTTTTTTTAGATTGTCTATCTAAAATTGTAGGATGTCAACATCATTCTGCAGCATTGGTAAGACAATTCATTTATTTACTTTTCTCACTGAATATATGTTCGAATGCCTATTTTTAAGGTTGTCAAACTGACAATGTTCATATATTATCAGACGAAGAGTGCCAGCTATTAATTCAAATGAAACAAGCAATGGTAACGAAAGATGAAGTGACGGAAACAATGGATGTTTTATCTGATAAATTATCTCTGCTTACAAAGAGCATTTATAACAATCGCAAATCAATGAATGGTAATGATTCAATGCAAAACACAGGTTTGCCTCTTCTGGATACAGTTTCTTTATTGTAAGTGTTACTCTTTCTATCACTTAGCTCTAGAAAATGTTCAAAATATTGCTCAAGTTAAACAAGAATCTCACAATTCATTCGAAGGGATTATGTCAGAAGTTGGTGGAAGTACGTACCGATTGTGATCATACCTCCTACTGAATTGGATGATTATGCAGTGTAGCAAAGAGCGAACGAGATCGTTGACACAACAATTATTTTATGTTTTAGAAATCAAATTTGAACCATATTTACCATTATTATATCCTTTTGCGAAAGTATCTGATGTATCTCCTATGAGTGAGGAATATCAATTAATTTTTAATTTTTTCCTAAAACGAATAATTTCCTTTTATTTAGAGTATCCAATTATACAGTCGATTGAAAGTATTGTAAAAATATTATTTTTATTAACAAACTATTATTTAGATTTGTTTATAGACAATTTAACAACATTTTCTTCGTGTACTACACCAGTAAATCAACGATGGCTATCAGGACACCACTTTAATTTTTCTATTGAAGAAAATTTGAAAAATGCTACGCCATCACAGCACAGTTATCATCATTCAGGTAACTTTACTCTTATCTTCGAGAGTGAGTCCATACTAGTTTTAAAAAAACTATTCAGGCCGTTTTGCATGACCTTTTGTGTGTGAAGAAAAGATCATTCAGAGATATAACTGATGACATCTGCCACTTACTTTCGTGTTCATAAGATTGTTCTATTAATAAAATATTTGTCTTGATAGATGTTCCAATGCCAATATCATCTTGTTGTGATGTTTTACAAGTACGATGATCATTAGTCTATGTATGACATATCTAATCCTGTTCTTTTTATAGAATGAAGACTCTTTAGTAGCAAAGTCAGTGTCTATACCCAAAAAACAAATTGAACAAAAAAATAAGTCAGCTATTATACAAAAATTATCTACTGAAAGAAAAAACACTCAATTCACCTCAATAAGTGTGTTGCTACTCATTTTCTGATCTACTACTTTTGCTTTATCTTGATTTTGTAATAGTTTCTACATCCAAATCGTCAGCAGTTGGTAATAAACTAACTTCGTCTTTAAATACAACTCAACAAAAAATTTCAGTAGTAAAGAAAAATAGTGTTCCATCATCGCCTCCAATTAAACCGGCAATAATACGTGCAAAAGTTCGATTATCATTAAATGATATATTAATAAAAAGGTAACTTAAAACAGCTAGCACAGCAAACATTGAAACATCTATTAACATTTACTGTTGCGGAAATGGGATATATTTAATAAGTCTATATACGAAGAAATTTTGAAAGAATTTTAATGACTTGTTTATACAGGAAGCTGAGGATGTTGAGCAGCATCTAAAGAACGTTTTTTGAGTTTACACAGAAGTGAAAAAGAAATGTATGCTCATTAAGCTTTAGTATTTCAGTTCAATATTTTGGTTCTGTTATTTGAATTGTCAGAATTATAAATTTTATTTAGATCAAACCAAGCCAGATTAAACGGATATACATCGGAGAGCATTAAACAAACAAGTGTACAAATTGAAAATGAAATCTATCGATTATTTGGTAATACAAATGAGAAATATAGGCAAAAATCTCGACAAATATTATTCGCAATTAAAAATGAAAATAATAAGGTTTGTGTTACGACTATACTACTGATCATATAATACTGAAAACATACTTATTTCTGTTGTAGTTGTTTGCGCAAATTGTGAATAAAGAAGTTGATGCTAAACACTTAGTTGAAATGAAATCCAACGATTATGTGTTGTTAGGTTTGTTAAATATCAGATTATTCTTTTTTTTATTATAATAAGTTTCTTTTTGTCTTCAGAAGCCAAAGAACATCAAAATTTAGCAATTATTCAGGTGTTTGTTTATTATTCATTTCTTTTGTCATGTGACTGGACACATTTTGAACAAATAACAATGTTCTTCATAGTTATGTCTTAGTTGGAAACAAGAAGAAGAGGAAGGATAAATATCCCGCCTTGCAGCTACCATTATCGATATAGTGTGGTGACAAGCCTCTGAGGGATCTGTCAATTTTGAGTAGCCCAATATCTTCTCTGCAACTAACAATCTTCGAAGATGGTCATTTATCTCTTTACTAATTATCAATCACAAGATAATTTGATGCAGAGTTCTTTCGTGTTCAATTGGTTGAGTTTTGCGAACAGATTTATTAGCCCACATACTAGCTCTCTAGTAAGCCAGGAAACTATGTTGTACGTCACAACGTAGTAAGTACGATATCAAAAGGGTGATTGAGGTACATGAACATAAGTATCTTGTTCAAGGATAGCAAATGACTTACTGGCATGAACACAGTGACGTTGAAGTATATGACAAACAACATAACCGCCAAACCATGCTGTCTTATCTCCGTCTGACAGTTTTATTCAAGTGGATCGCATTTAGGAATCCTTATTTACGAAACTAATTCTCATAGTGTTCATTGACAATAGAAATTCTATATTTGTAAGAACGATGTTTTAAGCAATAATATGTTTCGCTCACCTTTTCACGTTCTCATGAAACATTTAACTCGATATTTTTATGTTATGTATTTCTAGGAGGACAAACTTAGTCCAAAACAAGAAGATACTGCATTACCAAAGCGTTCAACAATGAAATGTACACGAGCAGGATTGATTGATCTTGAAACAAAGGCTCAGTCAAATAAGGTAAAAACAAAGTATATCCTCAGGAGACAGAGGTTTCAAATTCCTTTAACTTGGCGTTCGTGAATCAATACGAGATCAAAAGCGACATTATTGTTTATTTTGTTTCAAAGTTCTTTTCAATGATCGTTGTAGTTAAAGATCTTATTGTTTCCATTATAAATTTTCATCAGCTAAATCCTCTAGCATCAGTCAAGTACAAGTATTCGCTACTAGGATCTGCATCTTTTTAGATTATTCAACAATTGATACCTAAAAAAAGCACACCAAAACCAACCACTATTGCTTGCTCAACGGTCATAATCTCACCGATTAAGAAGAAAACAATACATAAAAAATCTTCATTAATGGAAAAGGAGCCGAAGTTGGTCGTACCGAATAGAGGAATTATCGATGAACAACAGCTATCTGTGATAGGTAAAACTCAATTTAATCGTGTTTATGTTTACTAATCTTTGTTTTTCGTATGACATATAGACATAGGTCTATCTCCATCGCTTGAATCCGTTCATGAACATATAGATATCCCTTTACCACCATTATTAGACCCAATAGATGATACATTTTTGACTGTGCTATCTATGGATGAATCAAAAAATCAAAGTAGAGTTAATAATAAAACGTCAACTGATGAATATTGGAAAAAGCAAAGAAATGTCACAGACATCAAGTTAGAAAAACAAACAGACGTTAACAAATCATTTCACACATCAGAGTAAGTAAAACGAAAAATTTTAATCATGTTTTTCTTTAGCAATTGCTAGTTAGTCATTAAAAGAACATACAAAACATTTGATCAGAAAGATACGTACTAGTATATTTCCGTTTGAAAACTACACCTTCATTTTCGAAAATAATACACATGTTAATATAATAGAATTTCCAAGTTAATAACAAATTTACTACTAATAAAAAGATACTCTGTCTCAGTATTTAAACTACATTTTAAATTAACAATTTTCACAATCAATGAAGGCTTTTTTATGTGTTTTTCTAGTCCTCGTTTATCACTTATCACTTATTATTGGCATGGTATTATATGTCGGGATGATACACGAAAATGTGATTGTCAATCAAGTTCAGTTTATGGTTCAAATTATTTATGCACTAATATTCCTAATGAATTGTCAATCTGTGGTCATTTAAAAACGACGGATCTATGGCCATATATTGTACAATCAATGGCATCTGATCGTGACCTGTTATTGATGAATATTACCTCAACATCTGTTTCTTCGTCTTTATTTAATCGTTATCTTGCTTTACTTTGTTCAACAAAATATGTTGGTGTAGCAAAAAAATGTATTGATGAAAAAATAGAAAATATTTATTTGATACCAGTTAACGATTTAAATGAATTTCCATTATTTTTACGAGAAATGATTACACTAACCGATAATCATATACATTTTTCAACCACTTATTATGCGTATTTGTTTATGTGTATTATCTCGACAACTAAACGACAAAAAACAATTAAAAACCAACAACAGAGCGCTCCTAACAATAATCAACAAATAGTCGATGCACCTGTTTTACCAGGTAAGCTACGAAAACAAGAGCGGTTTTAGTACAGATATAAACGAGCAAAACAAAACTTATCTTTGAATGATAAGCGACGTTTTGCAAAGCATGAAACAAACAGTTGACGATAATTAAAGTTCATTATTCATTCTCGACTGATTAAAGCAATTTGTTCTAGTACCCTCCACCTCTATTCAATGTGAAACAACAAACGATCCAAGAATTCGAAATGAATATAATTTCCGATGCCAGTTAAATCGAACCGATGGTCAACCAGGTATTTTTGTTAGCGGAGAAAGTTCAGAGTACTGTTAAAAATACGTGTAAAAGTCGAATTAGAATTCGAAATTCGAAAACATCAGATTTACTATTTCTATGAATTTCGGATTTCAAATTTGACTTTTCCTTTCCCGAAAGATGTTGGTTGCAATAAAGAGAGGTCTAATAGAGATTGGTCGGGGTGTGCGGCAGGATGAGAGTAACACACCATCCAATATTACAACTGGAAAGAAAAATTCGAATTTACCTTACTCCTATTAAAACTAAGAAAGTATTACTTGTGAGAGCAGAAAAATGACATTGATTCGTGTACTTTTACTTCTTAGACAACGGTTTGCCTTTGTCCATTTCCATTATAATTCTTGCATTTGTTCTGACATTTTCATTCTCATCTAGATACACAGATGCAAATTGATGATGATGATATTAAAACAAATGAACAAAAACAAGTTTTATCGTCTAGTTCATCAGTCATGATTGTCAAAAAAGATTTAACTAAACTAGAGAGTACAAATTCAACGTCTTTTTTTTCTAAAGTAGGTAGTTTTTTTGTTTTATACACTTTCATGTTAGATTTTTGTCCATAAAAGAAAAATTAGAATATCTCTTGTGTTGTATTTTTTAGCGTAAAATGAGAGCCTATCGTGGTCCTTGTCCATTGATCGATAATGCTATACCATTTTATTTGAAAGATATGAAAAAGTATGTAGATCATTTGCCCTGTCCTCGAAGGACAGATAAAAAAACTAATTTATTTGATCATCTTGAAAATTATCATAAAATTGAATATAAATTAATCAAACAAATTTTAACATCAGTAATGAATAATCAACATTTTAATATTGATAAACAACAAACATTACCATCGGTATCACGAATCGAAGACGCATATAGTAAAGAAATGAATTTTAATACAAATGAACACCAAGGTAATGTCAACTACGTCTCTAAATAAAATAAGAATTTTAGAAAATAAAATTCTCACTATATTCTCACATCCAGGGTCTCCAAAAAATCCAAAGCCTAGTTTTTCAGCATCCAGAACACAGTAACAAAAGTTTGTTTTAATCACATAGGGTGATGCATCAACTAATTCTCTATAAGATAAGACGTCTCCGAGCTCTCTACGACGTTTTTTCACTGAGTTACATCAATTTTTGGGCCTTTCGTAAAATTGATGTAGCTGAGTGAAAAAACGTTGTAGAGAGCTCGGAGACATCTTATCTTATAGAGAATTAGTTGATGCATCACCCTATGTGATTAAAACAAACTTTTGTTACTGTGTTCTCGATGCTGAAAAACTAGGCTTTGGATTTTTGGAGACCTTGGACTTGAGAATATAGTGAGGATTTTATTTTCGTCAAATATTTCTTGGAAACAATTTTCTCTATCCAAATCATTAAATTTCTTTTATCTCTTGCTTCTTGAAGTCATCCTAAAAGATGATGATGTATTTTCTTTTGTATGTTTTCTGTTATGTCAATGTTGACTGCATATTATCAGTTATTTAATTTATCTTCATTTTTCATTTAGATTCATTAACATATAAAGGCAAATGTCCATTGAAAGAATATTGTTTTGGTATTAGTGATCAACATAAAATTCGATTATGTCATGAAACCAATTTTAATAATCAAACAATTATTTTATATCCTCATTTACGTCATTATCATCATTTATCTTCTGATGCATCTTTAAAATTAATCAAGGCTATTGAACAAAATCGTAATAAATACGAGCAGATATTTAAATCGAATGAATGGATAAAAAAGTGATACTAGTACCGGTGTGAACGTTATTCTAGTCATTTTAGATACGTCGACTGTGCGTGTGTGTGTGTATATATTTTCATTTTTGATTCTTGTGTGCGTGAATGTGTATATCAATGTGAGATTTTTGTAATAGTTACTCCTACAGCTGCCATGCATCTTTCATCTATTTGCTTATATATAAATCTCTTTTTGCCTCTTTTTTGATGAAATATTTTTGCAACTTTTATTTCATTTGTTCTGAACGAGTATCAAACAATACCATTGATGTTTGTAATGATTTTAAATCATAATATAGTACAATATATATATAGAAAATAGAAAAAATGTATTATTTATTTTCGTCACTGTTGCTCGAAGATTATTTATTGACGAAGCACACATGACTTTTCTTTTTTAGAACATTTGACCATTGTACATTTTTCCTATTAAGACTTTGTTGGTTCCATTGTACTCTTTTTTTTTTCCTTCTAAACTATGATGATGCGATGAAGAGAGCTGTTATTATTCATGATTTTTCTTACAGATTTAACTAATGATATATTTCCCGGTTCTATAACACATTTTCTTTTTTTGCTTTATCTTCTCTATCTGTGTGCACCTTTAAGAGTAAAATATCTATTATATTTGTGAAACTTAACAGTCAGATAGTAAAAATCATGTGCTAAAAAAGTCAACTGTTTTCCTTTTTATTATTATGTGTATTTTGTTAGAACTAGATATGAAAACAAAAAGACGTTCTAAAATAAACTTAGATGGACTTCTAATCGTAATATTTGTGAGAGCTTTGTTCAATGATACCATAGAATAGAATTATTTTATCTCAATTCGATGTTAATATTTATTCATAAAATTGAATATTTCATATGAACAATCAAGAATAATAAAAATGCCACACTAACTTAGTGTTAAAATTTTTCTTAAATCAAAGCACAATGAAGAACATTAAAACTTTCCTTTGTATCATTTTGCTCTTAATCTGTAATACAAAATCAATTTTACTATTCTTCCTTATATTTTGCGCTTATATCCTTATATTCATAAAAATGCTCTTAGTTCTGATAGTTTGATAAATTCTCTTTTTAATCAAATTGTAGAACATAATAAAGTGTTTCAAAACATTTTAAAAGTTATTTCTAATGTCAACTGTTATCGAATTAATCATTTTTCCCAAATCAAAACGGAAAATACACTTTTATGTATTATTTTAACTGAAAGCTCTTTCCACAGTGCGGTGCACATTTGGATTGACGTTGGATTTCTTAAGATTTTAAATAACTTTAAAATTATGCGCCAGCGTATCATTTTCATTCGTTAAATCACTGTTTTGATGGTTTAAAAAAACGATACTGTAACATCACTGCCGTGGCGAGAGAAAAAAGTAGGAGGAGTGTAGATTTTTATGAGAAAAAGCCATAGAAGTAAGAAAATACAATTTTCTTTTATACACATATATCTGTTGGTTATTTATCTCAGTTTTAAAAGACAATATTAGGCGAGTTAATCTTTTGCTCCTCTCCAAGATTTTTTATCGAAACATCTTTAATTCAGTTTATTTAAAAATTTGACGTTAAAGACATTTGACGATATTTATGTATTTCCCATATTTTGGCTAATTGTGTGATACACTGGCTGTCGAGAAAATCCCTTTCTATCGAGCACAACATTAGAATTTAATGACGTTATCTTTCATTACCTATCGTAGACCTATTTTTAACAATACAAATTTATTTGATGAAAATTTTGGATTTAAATAAGAACAAAATAAGATTTCATTTCTGGACAAGCTACTTATAGAAATATTCACTAATGAGGCCTCTTCTGTGGTAAAGAATAATGGATATTTGTAGTTTATCCAACAAAAATGAAAATAGGAATGCAATCTTTATTCAAAACATTCATCCAATGAGTTTGTATTACTAAACAACAAAAAAGTGTAGGAAATAATCTTTTCGATTTGATTATACAGGATTTTAGTAAATAGGAAGTGAAAATGAGATTTTCTGTTAATATTCATATATAGTTTTAGTTGAATTGAAAAACAATTCTCAACTGCAGCAGCAGCAAATATTCAGGTAAAAAAAGAGCTTTTCTTATAGAAAATGGTAGGGTCTTATCAGCTTCTGCAGAATTCATGTAAGATCCTATCGTAGGCTTCGTTGATCTAAGCAGTCTGTATGTATTTACCATTCGACTGACTCTATTTTCTTGCTTCATCATTGTTAATGAACTATTTATTTACAAGAACGAAATGAAAAAATCTGATTTTCTCGTCATTATTCTCTAATAATGAGCATAGTTTTCACTCGTTTGATGATTATGACGCTTTATAATTTCTAAAACGTTGCTTTGGTATTTCACTGTTCACCTGGTGTCAAAGATTCTTGCCAGATTTCAAACAAAATCTGCTCCTCTTTGTTGCCAGAAGATCTAGTATGGCGTGTGTTGTTCATCTCGCGGCATGTAAGTAAAAAATGTCTCAGTTCCTTTGACTTTACTCGCTTATGGCCAAGCAACATAGGAGTATAGAACAACATTCATTAAATGAATTTTAAAAATTTTCTTCGTGTTTATATTATGGTCCATACTCTTGTCTATTCAATATTGGAAACTAATTGTTTTAAGTTTATTCATGTTAGAGATTTCAGGTTTTTATCATTATCGTACCAATGAGCAGTGATCAGAATAATCCATTTATCAATATGTGTACAATGATTCCATAGACAAAAACCAAGCTGGTGGATTTCTCGTGAGACAGGCTACGCACTTCATACTCGATCTTTTGGTAAAAAAGAGGGGCAGATTTTGCCTGAAATCTAATGAGATCTTTTTTTGTAAAAGATAATGTTTCATCCGTTGCGTAACCGATAAGAAATTTTATCGTTTTTACGTATTCTCTGTTATATGACGGCGTTACACAAAGTATTGTCTAGACTGCTGAAAAAACACTATAAATCGGCATGTGTTTGTTGTTGATTAGTCGTTTTATTTAGGCAATATCACCATTGTCTGGTGTACGTAATCCATATGTTCTAGAAAGCATAGGTTCTTATCTCACCACGTCATAGATGAGAATTCATGAGAAGCAGTTGATTTCGCTAGAAGATTTAGATCAACGTTTCGCATACGAAAACTTATTTTAATATTGATCTTGTCTGAATCAGTAAAATTCACTTGAAACTGAAACCTATTGGCAGAAATATAACGTATCTTCCAAAAACAAACCAAAATGATGTTGGAAGTTCATTGTCTGCTAACAGGAGAGTTAGTTCAAAAAGATACAAAAGAATAGAAATTAAGAAGTAGAACATGTGTCAGGTGTACATAGTAATGTAGTCTAATTTCTCTCGACGAATATTCTTTCAGTATTGATTATCTCCCTAATGCTGAAGCGAATAACATAACTCTCCAGTCTGAAGTCCTATAATAACTATAAATCAAATTTTAATACTCTTTTTTAAATGTCGTTACTAAATGTAAAGATTCGTATATATTTTGATTCCATTAAAATTTTGTCCGACATAACGCATTGTAATGTTAGAAGATACAGATATAATATTACTGGGAGAGGGGTATGACATCCAACCTCAATCTTATTAGTATGTTACAGTTGAGCAATACATAGGTACTGATTACAATATGATGACATAGACCTCTACTAGATAGAAGACGTTTTTTCGGCTTCTAAATACGTTACTCACCGTGCATGCTATACCATTAATAATTGACATCCCTTAAAGTTGAAAGAGTCGCGACAGATGTACTAGAGAGATCAAATTTGCTCTCTCACACATATGCTCTTCAGTTGCCACTATGACATATATTAGCTTGATGTATAATTTTGTTATGTATAAAACAAACAACTTATAAATAATCTATTTAAAAGATAGTGATAACAATATACGCTATTCACACCAGTTCACTAATTTTTAACGTCACAGCAGTTTAAAAGTCATAAAAGATTCCGTTTGTTCTAGAGAAATTAACATACAATAGATAACCAATAAAATAAAAAGAAGCTGTCAAATGAACACGTTAGTCATTATTGTTCACTCAAATTGTATATAAACGATAGAATTACTGTCAGAGTGAATTGCACAAACAGTAAGTAGACATTCAACATAAACGTATGAAATAGATACTGTTCGAATAGCCTCGCGGTCGTTTATAATTTCCACGGGTTGCTTTCTGAACAGAAAATATTTCTACGATTCAGACATCACTGATAAGCATGTCAATGAATATGAGAAAAAGCCAATTTCAGTTTACTGTTCGAAACCTCGCTATAGAAAATTATCGTTTTTAGTGTGGACGCGATTACAGAGAATTGATTTAGGCATGTATACAACTAAGATTGAAGAGTTGTATTCAGAGAAGAGTTAACTTGCCATCGATAGTTAGTAAATTCAACCTTAAATGAATCTATTAGAACTAAACAGAGTTAAATTTTTCGCTGCATGCATTGAAAGATCTTGTTAATCAATTTTTAGCTACGAAAATTCTCCTTGCATTAATGATCGACTTGATGATAATTCTCAATTGTTCCTTCCTAGTTTCGTTTCAGGTATTAATTAGCGAGCTTGGTGGAACAGCAGAAGGCCGATGTAAGTTAATATTAATTAACGACGACTTTTATAATACAACCTCGTAATCAATTTACTGTTTCATACTTCAATTTACTGTTTTGCGTTTGAATAACGCAAATAAGCAGCAAGTCGAAAATGTACAAGTATCAGAGTTAAACTAACATCTTGAAATGGTCAGTGTATAATAAACGCAGAAATTAATTAGGTAAAAAACATCGCTATTTCCTATTAGTACTGTTTGTTGCTTTAGTCCCAATTCAATTTTGATTAGTATTTTAACCGAAACATCTAAATCTGCCAGTTGACATAGGCTGTTTTTGAAGTTTTTGTATGCATTTTAAGTTGGAAAATACAAAGTGAAAAACTTTTTTGCCTGAAAGGCTTTTACTATCAATAAAGCAACTTTCATTCTCCAACATAATAAATTATGATTAAATAACAAAAATGAGAATGTGAAAATTCACTGGAGAATATGTAACAATAATGATAAAATCAAAGGTGTGTGTAATTTTCGGTGATTTTTAGTGATCGTGAAAAGAGGTTCTGGTTTATGATAGTTAAATTCGATAGTTTTAAAGAAAAATCAGAAAAATTTGCGCCTGTTACAAGCACTATCAAAGAAACACATAACACTAGAAGATGATTTTTTTTACTGCTGATGATTTTTGAAAGTTTGGGTTTGAGGAAGAGAGCAAAAGAAACAGCAATCGAGCATCATTTCCACAGAGGAAACCCGATGAATATCATTATTCGAGAAGAAAAGAGAACTTGGCCATGTAGATTTATTTTTAGAGGGGCTGAAAAGTTGGCTGTTTAGACAACCTAGTAAAACAACTGCTATTCGAAAACGTAGAGGCATGCAGAATTGGTTCTTGGTCACTCGAACAAGCATGATGCCACTACGTTTATCTAAGACAAGAAAGTCTGGTATTCTCATCAAACGAGCGGCTCCTAGGCAAACGAAACTTGCGTATTTTGCCATTTGTTCTTAGTGCTATCTACTTGTGTATAGGTTAGAAAAGCTCGTTCTTGATGGCAGACATAAACTTCGATTTGGTCTTTGACATGAGCTATAGAATGTAGACCTTTTGATGAAAGAGAAAAACATGCTCAGAATTGACCTGAAGAAAGTGCCTGTTCAAAACTTGGATCTGGACGAACACTGTGTTCCATAATACTTGTTTCGAACGCAGTTGTGCGTTTCTACTTCTCTCACCTAGCACTTCAAAGGCTGCTAGGTGAGATCTTGGCACAATAGAAATAGTATGTACTATATTGCACTTTGATCAACGAAAAATTTTGAAGAAGCGTCTACGATGTTAGAGCACGTCGAAAAGTACCAGGTGCCGTCAACACAGACCATCATCTACTGTGAATTAAAATTAAGATTTATTTGAAATATATAAAAAGGTATCAAAATGAACTGTTCATTTTGAAAACAATGTCGCATTCTTTTATATCACGCTTTAAAAATGATATGAAACAAAAATGAAATGACTATTCCAGCATGTCAACTGATGAAAAATACGCTAAATTTGTTGAATAAGTGGATGAGACAATACTTTCAATAAGATAACAGCAAAAAAAAAGTTTAAAAAGTACATGTCCTGTATCAGAATTGAACTGACAATATCTAGAATTCATATACTTGTTGTGTAAGATATATATACTCTTCAACATAGAGGGAACAAAACAATTTATACCTACGAAAACACATGGCAGACGCGTTTTATTGAACGCAAATTTTTACGTGAGAAGTCAACTGGAAGATAAATATATGAGTAAATGTCGTTAGCAAACTAGTAAAACAGAAAATCAAAACTCATCAGTCTGAATATTTGATGGAGATTAGTGCAGAAATCGAAGAAGTCATGAAGTAGTATGACCCAATCATGGCTTATAGTATGACCGGAAGACTTTGGGAAGAAACAGAAATGTAGACTAAGTCTCTATTCAGGATAGAAGCGACGATGGTCATGGATAGATCACGAGAATATAACAGACCATTATCTATGTGTTTATTGATATTCAAAAAGCTTATTTCGAGTTTTCGATTTGATAAATCGAGATGTTTTTCAACAGATCTGCAGTCATTATGTATTGTCGCATCAATTAGTACGAATGTTGGAAGCTCTTTGTGATCCTAGGAAAGCACATTTTCGAATTAATGGTGAAATCTTTGGCAGTTTGAAATTGAGAAGGATCGATGCAAGATGGAATGTCACCAAATACTGTCTAATCGTGTTTTGGGTTTTATCATGAGGAAAGTATTAGGTGAAGCAGAAAATATAGAAGAGAAGTTGATTTATGAAAGCGGAGATTTCTTTCATCTATCTCATGATTCTTATGAAGATTTGATCTACGAAGATGTTGTTGTGACAATGGAGATAATGGAAGATGTCAACCCATGTACTAAAAATCGCATAAAAATCGGCAATTAATCGTGAAAAATCATACGATTAATCATGCGCTTAATCGCGATTAATTGCCGATTTTTTTCTAGGTACTAGGTTCGAACCCATCTTAGGAAATACATATTTTTTTTCTGTTTTTCATTGTTTATTACGTATAATGACATGTGCGTCACACAGCAATGGTCTTAGCACCAGCTGGCGTCGGAGTCTTGCCGACGAGTCAGCTTTAAACATTGCCCATATACCAGCTGTTCAGTGGGCTTCTCGGTTTAAAGCTCTGAGGAACAATAGAGAAGACTCTTGACAACTCTGTTGTCTAAAATAAAAAGATGATCTGAATATAAGTGTATTTTTCGCTGAAATCGTGTTTCTTATATACAAACTTTATTGCAAAAGAAAATGGTGAATAACAACAACCATTTAATCACTTAAAATCAACAATTAATCGCAAGTAATTGATGATTTTCGTGATTAATCGCGATGGTTGACAAAGTCATCGATTAATCGCGATGCACGAAAAAACTATCACTTAATCGCAATTAAATGACCATTTTTTCCCGAATGAATCGCGATTGAGCGTCGATTTTTTTCAACCATCGCGATTAATCGACAAAAATGAAGCGATTTTCAGCACATGGGAAGGGATTTATAGCGATATTTAAGAAAGTAGTTTCAACAGTTTGGTTTCACCATGAGCGTGTTACCAAGATAAGGATTATGCCATTAAAACAGCTGTAGAAAGACTATAAAAAATCGTCAGGGCTGTAGATGTTGTCACTGCGAAGATTGTCATTGTCGTTAGAAATCAAACTATAGACATATTAAAGAGTACTTCACTTATTAAAGGTGCTTTGCGTCAAGAAGTTTTTTTCTCGGTGTTTCGTCTCGCTTTTAGAAGTTCACATATGCTTTATTATACAACCAATATGCAAAAAATATCGATTATATTATAAATTATTTATTTAACAATTGTTATAACTGGCTGTTTTATTGCCAAATACATTCATACATTCATCATTGAAAACAAAAAATGAAACTAGACGAAAATAGAGGAACTACAGAAAAGATTTTAAAATAACCCATTAATCTATTTGTCCATTTTATCTATACATCCGCAGTATGTGGTTAAATAATATAGGTTGTATATAACAAACAAGTAATACTTCAAAACTCAGTGATTCGCTAAATATATCTCATTGATTCAAAATGAAATCAAAACTCAAATCTTAAAATGACTTTCAGCTATAAGTTAGAAAATCACATCTGTGATTTTTCGAGTTCGCTAGTTTTTTATCACAGAATTCTTATAAAATTTCTTCAGCAGAAAAAAAACAAAGAATGTGGACATACAACATATAAAGTCAAAAAAATGTCATCAATAACTCATTTCCATACTAGTCATCTTTTCAATTGGATATTCAACATACCATTTGTATTTTCGTTTCTCTGTGGAAACATTTTTCTTTTCATAGTCGATATATTGAAATAATAATGCATAAAAACAATGATCACACGCTAATGCTAAACGTTTATTGTCATACAATGATGAAGAATGATGTAAAGAATTCAAATCGAATAAAAAGGGAAAATAATTCGTTTCTAATAGTTTGATTTCAGTTTGTTGAAATGAAATTAACATATTACATAGATAACAATGTGCTTCTGGTTTCTGATACTTTCTTTTGTCGCTAGTAATGTTCTGTTTCTCGTACAGTGTCCATTGATCAATTAAATTGAAATAACATAATGTACATACAAAACTAGTCGATTGTAAGAATGGAAATGAGGGCTGACTAGCATCTTCATCTGTCAACGTTCTTGCTGGTGATAATGAATAAAGCGTACCTAAACAACAAAACATTGTCCGATTAGTGGAGAAAGAAAGGGCAGTAACTTTTTGTTTCACACTTACCCTTTGGTTTTATGGATGAACATAATTGACATTCATCATATGCTGTAGATTTCGATGTTTTCATTATTTGCTCATAATTTGATGAAAACATATCTTGGACTTGTTCTAGGTTTGTTCGTACAATCTGTTCTAGTGAACAGAGTTGATCAATAGGAGAACCGGCGATTTCATTCAAATGTGCAGTAGTGGGGATTGATGGAGGAATTAGTTTCAGTAACGGTGGAATCTTTGATGATGATGAACAAAATCGCTTTGATGCTGATTCGTCAGGTTGCTCTTCAGGCACTGGAAGATCAAGTGATGATTGAGCCACATCTGTCACGGATGCTGATGACGAAACCGACACGATTTTGTTCGGATAATATTTATCATTGACCATATACGTTCGTTGATCATTTGGAATTTTTTTTGTTTCATAATCAAGCCATTGTAGTTTTAATGTTAAATGGCATTTTTGACACACTAATGCTGACTCGTTTTGAGAAGACAAAATACGAAGAAACGGATACGATATATAACCATCACGTTTCCCACGTATAGTTTCACAGTGGATTGTGCACATGTTCGAGTAAACATCCGTTGTAGGACTAAAACATGAATGTGATAGAAGGCTGTTGGGATGATGTTTCATATTCCAAAGCGGAAAAAGAAGATTCAAAAAGTTAATAGAGAAGTGATTTATGATAGTTCACCGTCTATACTTTGAACCTACCATAGAAAACACGTATGTTGTGGAGTTGGAACGGAGCCATTTGTTTTCGTGCTTCGATCATCCGCATTGTCTTTGTTTTTATTTTCTAAATAAATCGTCACTAACAACGTTTTACAGCAGGTCTGAGAATTATCCTTTCATTACCTTGTTCTTTCAATTCGACTTTGTTCGGTTTCTTTTTGCTCACGTCTTCTGTTTTATTGTTTAACTCAATTTTTGGTGAAATATCACTGATAATATTTTCATTATTGCAACTCCCATTTGAACGATAAAATCCTTTGAAGAAGTAGGGACCACCAATTTTGTTTTCGTTTGTTTCCCATTGTTTTGTTAGTAATAAATAACATAAGTGACAAACATTGACCGTCCCACCGTCGTCTATTGGCTCAGCTCCATCAGCCGGTTTAATATTGTTCAGAAATGGAAATACTGGTTCTTTATTACCACTACCATTACTTGCATTTAACTGAAATTTTGCTCGACCATGACCACACAAATAACATACATCGATGAAAGTTGTTGTTCTTGATTTTGAATTTGTTGTTATTTTAGATAATATTGACAGAGCTTGAACAGATTTTCTTGATTTTCGCTAAAAATGAAGGAAAGACGAGGCTTAGTTTGTATTGTCAAAGATTCAAACATATGACTGACAACTGAAACTGAAAATGCAGATGTGGAATCGACTAGACATTTGAAAATCGCCACCGTCATTTAAATGTCAACTAATGTTGACTGGACATACTGGCAAAATTTAAATTCGAAAGCTCAATAAAAAAACGCAAAGAGATGTGTACATTGAATCATCGATGATGATGCCAACAGAAGGAACGAATTGTCTCATGTCCTGTATGGTGTTATCTGAACTCAATTACATATAATAGAGATATTTGAACTCAGCTGAGCACAGAATGAAGCAAGACACACAAACAAACAAAAACTTTTAACATAAAACGGTCAGACTGACAAAAACAAGGACATGTAGTTTCCCACTATTTAACAAGAACAAGTATGGAGAATTCTTTTGTCCGAACTATTTGTGAACCAACGATATGTTCGATTCTTGTTTCATTCGTAAAGAAACGTCTTTTCAACAATAAATAGGGGTGAACAGTAAACAAAATAAACAAAAAAATATGGTGCCAAAAGAACCAACAAAAGCGCAAATCAACTAAAGGTTACTGTTACTCATAGTTTTTTGCTATATTAAAGGAATGAATCGAATCTGAGGACAGTTTCGTTGTGCGTGGGCAGATACCCGTATGAGTTTTGTGAGAAAAATGAAGCTTCAAATACAGGTTTTTAGTTGGTGTGGCAGCTATTAATTCTAAGGAATGACAAAAAAACCGAGAATTAAACTCTGAAGAGAAAGAAACATCCAGCTAGCTGTTTCAGAACAGTGTGAAGGCCGATGTATTTTGAATAAGTTTTGACTGAAGTAGATAGGTACCTACGATGTCATAGAGGAAACAATTCATCTCTGTTATTGTCATCATCATTAATTCTACTTATGCTCTTTAGTTTCAATTCATGTTGTGCGTTTCTTTTTGCCATTTTTTAAATGAAGATGATGTACATAGCATTAGATCGTGATTTTAGTTGTCTCATCAACAAGTTATTCTTTAATGATTTTGCCTTTTAAATAGATTCATTTTTTTTTATGAGATCTACTGTTCCTTATTGGATGCGATATTTCCCGATCAGAGGTGGCTAATTAGAGATGTTACATCCACTATATTTCTCACATCTATCTTTTTTTCTCGCCATTTAGAACTATAGAACGAGAAAGAAAAGCAAAAAGGAGCAGAAACAAATGAAGTGTACTGAGTACTGATGATATACTCTTATAATAGATAGTAATTGCGCCAACGGGTCCAAATCGCATTCAAAGTGCAACTTACTTTTGTTTTTAAGCCGACTGAGTGAAACTCAAGAAGACTTATTCTGTTTCGCCACAAAAAGATTCTTATTTTATCACACGCTTTTCATTTCTCGAGTCAGTCACTCGTTTTCAACTATTACTAATCATAGAGATTTTAGGACAAAGACTAAAAGAAAGTCTCAGATCTGCTTCAAAAATTCCACATAATCAACGAACGTATATGGTCAATGATAAATATTATCCGAACAAAATCGTGTCGGTTTCGTCATCAGCATCCGTGACAGATGTGGCTCAATCATCACTTGATCTTCCAGTGCCTGAAGAGCAACCTGACGAATCAGCATCAAAGCGATTTTGTTCATCATCATCAAAGATTCCACCGTTACTGAAACTAATTCCTCCATCAATCCCCACTACTGCACATTTGAATGAAATCGCCGGTTCTCCTATCGATCAACTCTGTTCACTAGAACAGATTGTACGAACAAACTTAGAAGTCCAAAATATGTTTTTATCAAATTATGAGCAAATAAATTTTGGCAGTATGTCCGTGCAACATTAGTGATTACAATTTTTTGTAGTTAGATCCGGAGTAACGTTTGATTGTCAAAATCGTATGTATGATATGAACTAGTTTACGCCGATAGACAAAATGGAGTTTTTTACGTCTTATTGATTTGAGTATATCGTTACATTATAATGATAATTATAGCCTGATGCACTTGAAAACTCAAAGAGAAAGTCAATATTGCTAATCATCGTAACACAGTACTTCTCTGGAATCTTTGAGATTGTTGCAATACAGAAAATAAGACGTTTTGTATCCTATAACTTACTGTTTTTTCCATTAAAAATCTTGTTCACAAAGTAATATGTTCAAAAAATTATTTTTCTATAACATTCTTTTTAAATATATTTCTAATGTGGTTAGTCTAGTCCACGTCTTTCTCTTGTTCAGATAAGCAGTCTGTGAAGTATACGCACACATTTTGCCGTTACTATTATAACAGCAGATGATTTTTCTTCTATTCATCAATATGAAAACCCATTCACCAGATGATGCTCTCGTCGTTGTTGCCGTTGATTTTTCTTTCTTTTCTGTTTCTCTTATGGAAAATACTGTCGTCACTCGTACCAATTTTTTACACCATATGAAACATATCCACACAAATAAGAGCTTTTAGTTGAGTTATGTCTATCTTTTTCAGCTTGCACCAGCATCATACACATCATCAACATCTTTTTCTTTTCCTTCGCCCATTTTTCTCTTTTTTTTTTCATTCTGACATTTACCATACATATGGTGTAAATTTCTTCTATTTCCATCTGTTCAAGAAAAAATATTCCATTATATACAATATTTCATCACCAGATCCGAATAATTCAAGCAAAGCGCAGCAGATTCATTAACTTGATATTTCTATATTTACACGATTTTCTATGAGCTATTTCTACTAACAAATGTAAGCGTTAATCTGGAATACTATTTTCTATATGTTATTATACTTTTTTTTGTGACTGAAGAAATTAGTATTAAATATGCAACGTAATGTTCCACAAGAGCATATAATTGAGTGGTATCTTTGTGACAAATGTTTTGAACTGGAATAACTCTTTATTGTTGACTTTTTAAAAAAATGACGAAATTCAACAAATAGAAAATCGCTCGTTTGAAATGCTTATTTGTATTACAGCACGGCTGCTTACGTAATATTCTGCCGCGAGAATAAGCCGATTTGTCTGCCGCTTGATTTGTTAAAGTCTGCAGTTGTTGTACTGTTAAACAGTCAAATGCTTTACATACAAGTTAAGAAAAGAAAGAATAAATAAGATAGGTCACCATCTAGATTTGGGTTAATTAACATGTCCAACGCGAGAATAAATCCTAAAAATACATGAACAACCTCTGAGGATTCAACATAACGGTGTTAGATGATAGCTTTTTCAGTGTGCTAAATGGTTAAATAACAAAACCTTGAATATAATTCAAAGTTGTTGTTCGACCAGAAAAAGAAAGTAAAAGAATGAATTCACTGGTACAAATTCTTCTTTTCAGGACTGCATTTTTTAGTGCCAGTTTAAAAGTATCCTAGTCAACTAAATGATATCTCATCAACAAACTAAGAAATCTAATTGTTTACCTACTGTCTATCTATCACTTACTTATCGCGTATAATGACCTGCTTCCTGTTACACCGGAGACAGATTCAAGACATTTCATGACATGATCGATCAGCTAGAAGGAAAAAGAGTAGTTATCAAGGTTAATCAGATATAACTAATTCTTACTCAATTCGTTAATGCTGCACTCACCGAGAATCGCTCAATTAAACATTACCAGTTAGGACACAATTGGCTTCTAACTCGTTCAGAAAGTGAAAAATAAATTTCCCAGTAATGGCTGCAAAAAACCTGAAACGATAAATTCACATGCGCCACCAAATAATGCACGTATTATTAACATTTCGTATTAAAAATATCTGTCAATAAAACTAAGCTGATAAATAGTAGATAACTCTAAGACAGTAGCGATGAGTGCATATACTATTCGTATCATAAAGGTCGTTGCTATAGCTATAATGATGAGAGAGGCTGTTGAATAGGTGAAGAGAGGTGAAGCGTTAATTTAATTAATGCTAGGTTATCGGGTATCAATTTAATTAATTAATTAAGATTAGTAGAGAGAGAAGAGTGTTGGGATCGATTAATCGGAAAAGTTTACTTTTTCCAGGATGAGCCTTGATAACAAATGTCTATGTGTTTGACTGGACAATCAATCAATCAGTCATTAGTTGAGTAGCGAAAGCTGTAAAGAAGCAACAAATGACTAATATAGTGACCTAGGAATGAAATCAGACTTTTTCAAGTATCCTAGAAACCTTTTTATAGCCTAACTTCACGGTTGCTGTTTTATTCTCAAATGAATCCCTAGCCAGTGTTTCTAATGAGAATTGTAATCAAAATGGATTGAACCACTTTGCTCTGAAGCCTAAAGTGGCACTAACCACTTTGTGCTAAACTGCAAAGTGGTCTCGAATAAAGTATCAGCAAGCAGC